TTCGAGGGAACTCGAACTGCGTCGGTGACGACACTATGGGAACGAGATACCCACTTAGGCCGTGCCGAATCCCCGCCTGCCCCCAGCGTGCAGAACCTGACGGCACAACTAGGAGGAGAGCGCACGGGTGCCGGGTGCAGAAGGAAGGTCCAGACTGTAAACCGGATGAAAGTGTGAGGGGTGGCCCAGCCAGCCGCGTCACACTGGAGTGACGCCCCTGCGAGGAGGGCCCAAGAAGCCGCCATGCCTCGAGTAGAGTGCGCCCTTACGGCCATAGGTGAAGGCAATACCGCGCACCTGATAGGCCAGGGAAATACTCTGAACGATCCAGTTGCTGATGGTGTGTTTAGAAGCGGGGAGCCCAGCCTTGGGGGACCCGAAACACACCAGCTACTGGTCTGCTTTCCTCCACCGGGAAGACCTCAGAGTGTAAATACTCGGTGCTCTGACAGGGCAGAGCAGATGAGAAGTCTCCTGTCCTCCGCCGTCACATGAGGTGAGGGATGAAACGCCTGCAGCACCGTGGACCCTGCCAGTCTGGCCGGAACCTTAGGGACATAACCTGGACAAGGGTGCAGGATGGCCCTCCCCGGGACAAACTCCAGGCATCGGGAAGAAATCGAAAGTGCCTGGAGATCCCCCACCCTCCTCAGAGAGGTGATAGTGAGGAGAAAGGTCGTCTTAAGGGTCAGGTGCTTGGCCTCAGCCTACTCCAGGGGTTCAAAGGGGGCCTCAGCCAACACTTCGAGAACCACTGCCAGGTCCCAGGTGGGAACCCTGGAACGAGTCATGGGTCTCATCCTTCTGGCTCCACAGAGGAAGCGCACGACCAGTGGAAGCATCCCCAAGGGCTCATCACTCAGAGGCGCGTGGAATGCTGCAATGGCAGCCACATACACTCTGAGCATGGACGGGGAGAGGCCAGAGGAGAAATGGTGCTGGAGGAACTCCAGTATCACAATTACCGTGCAGGTAACTGGGTCCACCGCCCGTTCTCTGCACCAGGTGGTGAACACATTCCACTTTAGGCCGTACATCCTTCTCGTGAACGGGACTCTGGAGCTGAGCAGCGTCTCGACTGCTCCTGTCGTCAGGCCCGCCTCCAGGAACTGCGCCCCTTCAGGGGCCAGACCCATAGCTGCCACAGGGCGGGGTGCGGGTGAGGCCCTCCGCCTGGGACAGCAGGTCTCTCCTCAGAGGGACCTGCCAGGGCGGGCCCTCGAGGAGCGATATTAAATCCAAGAACCACACTCGTGCCGGCCAAAACGGGGCTACTAATAGTAGGCTGACGCCGTCCTAGCGGACCACAGGGGACAGTGCACCGTTTCTCAGGACGCAAACAAGTCCACATCTATGGGGCCAATCTCTTCGCATAATAACTCCACCACCTCGGGGTGGAGTCTCCATTCCCTGGGCCTCAGCCCCTGTCTCGACAGCAGGTCTGCACCCTGATTCTGGGTCCTAGGGACGTACATCGCTCTGAGGGACAGCAGTCTCTGCTGGGACCACAGGAGGATCTGATGTGCCAGTTTGCATAACGGGCGCGAGTGCAGACCCCCCTGGTGATTCAAATAGGCCACCACTGCTGTATTGTCGGTTCTGACTCTGGCCCCGTTTTCCAGCAGAGAGCGGACTTCTTGTCCCAACACCTGGCTCTGCCCCACGTGCACCACAGTCCATACCACCCCGTTGAACTTCTTCGGGGGGGGGGGGGGGGCACCCTGAAGCAAAGAACCGCCAGGGAAACTTACCGGCGACCCACGGTGTGTGAGCCCGATCGTTTTCCAGCTGCAACCCCTCAAGGCGGGCAGACTGGTGAGAGCTCGCTGGCGGCTAGCGTGTCCCGAGCGCTAAGACGGTGGGAAGCCTGTTGCCTGAGCCGCCATGAGGGATGGGGACCTCGGTCAGTCTTTCTCGGGGGGATGGTGATGGTGGGCCCCCCCTACTCGAAACCTCAGGACCTCCTCTGCTTCTGGCTCCGGCGGTAGGAGCTAGCCAAGGGCTGAGCTCGTCTCTCTTCAGACCGGCGGGGGAGATATTGCTCAAACGCCTCTCCCTGCCTTTGGCGTGCTGAAACCTGCTGACGACAGCATCCACTGCCTCACCAAACAGGCCAGTAGGAGAGAGGGGCACATCCAGGAGAAAAGCCTTCTCCTTCCCCTGGATGCCCGAGAGGTTGAGCCACAGATGGCGTTCCGTAGCCACTGGAACGGGCCGTCTCCTTGGTAACACGGAGTGTTAAGTCCGTAGCTCTACGGAGCTCAGTCAGGTACTGCTCAGAGGGACCTCCCCCTAGGTCACAGTCTTTGAGAAGATCGGCCTGGTACGCCTGCAAGGTGACCATGGTGTGCAGGCTTGCACCAGCTCGACCCGCTGCCATGTAGGTCTTGCCCACCAAAGCGGATGACGTCCAACATGGCTTGGTGGGGAGCGCCGGCGTCTGAAGGAATGAAGCGAGGGTGGGAGAAAGATAGCTCGCGAGTGCTTTCTCCACCAGAGGCATCATTCCAAAGCCGTGCTGCTTAGTTTCTGTCACGCTGCTGTAGTCCAGCAGAGGGGACGCAGTCAGCCGTGCAGAGCAGCTCTCTTTTTTTTTTTTTTTTTGGTCTTTTCCATGATTTACACAACTCATTGTGTGGCTCCCGGAAGTCATCCTCCATGATGCTAAGTACGTCTAGCTCCTCAGAATCAGACTGTGCAAGTCTCTCTAAACTCATACCTCGGACGGGAGAAGCCAAGAAACGGGCTCCGAACGGGGAAGAGAGGAGGCGGAGTCAGTAGACGAGGACCGGAAAAAGGCCTCAGATGTCCCGACGCCCTCGGAGATATCATGCTGCGATCCCCATGACCGTAGCCGCCGCAACGCTTCAGCAACCGCGGGCCCTGAGCCACGGGGAGAGCGCATCCGACCGTCTTCCGAAAGAGAGCCGCACGAGACCTCAGCACCTTCAGGGACCGGGCCTCGCCATGGCCGCAGGCAGCCCCCTCGAGAGCTGCCTGGGCGTGCGACATCCCCAGACAGGAAACACACATCTCATGAGTCTCCCCATGGCATGGAAAAACACATTGTCGGAACTGATTACCAAACATGGTCTCTACTGCTTCGTCAGGATTTCCAGGTAAGACAACAACTTTCTCGATAGTGGAGCTTCCAAACATACTCAGAGTGCCTGCTGAATAAAAAAAGGCTAATGTGTCCTGTGTGCCAGCGTGCTTATATACCCCTCCGGTTACACCGTCACACGCTACCGTTCTAGCAACACAACCCGGTCTCACTCCCAAGTCGTCACATATGGATGCTTGGTCAAGAGCCATAATCGTCAGTTTGTGACGCAGTAGGGATCCCTTTGACGTCATAGTTCGACGTATTGAGGGAAGCCCTGTTGTGTCAGTTTTTGATGGTAAAGGCAAGTATGATATTTAAGAGAAAAGACGAAGTAAGGAGGTGATTGGGGTGGATAGAGGGCCAGAAGCCGGACCTTGAAGCAGGAGAACAGGGTTTGTGTCCCGTGCGAAACAAAACATTAAATGTTTTTATTTAGGCGAGTGAGGTAAATTGACATTAACGTTAGTTAACTTAAGTCTTAATTGACGTACATAGCTATTTTAACCCAAACCATGATCTTTTCCTAACCTTAACCAAGTAGTTTTGTTGCCTAAACCCAACCAAGTACTTTCTGTGCCTAAACCTAACGAAACTGCAACGTTTCACGACTTTAATTATGCGCGTTTCAACATGGCAATGTAACGAAATGTTACGTTTTATCTTGAAAGTGTAACCGGATATTGCATATTTATTGTTGCTAAGCGTTGCTAACTTGACTGTGGATCCCTAAACGTCAATAATTGTGGCAAAAGGGCTACCCAAGTCTTTAAAAAGCGACGACAAAGGGCCTTGACCATGCATCAGACATTTGACGAGTAGGGAGTGAGACTGTGTTGAGCAACACCAATAGGATTGGAGTAGTTTCATTCATAGTTCAGCCCTGCCACGCCCAGAGGCGTTCCCATAGTGTCGTCACCAACGCAGTTCGAGTTCCCTCGAAGGGGAATGTCATAGCGATTTATAGTTTTCTCACTGCTGGTTTCTGTCACTGCATCTCCCGACAAAACACCATTTTTTCAGCATTCTGTAAGGTAACTTTGTCAACTCGAGTAGTTCACCTGCCACCTGTTCTGCTCCCCTCCGACACACACACACACACACACACACACACACACACACACACACAGAGCTCCTTCAGTGACCCATCCGTCACCCAAAGCTGTCACCATGGGGGAAACTGTGCTGCTGTCATCCTCTTGTACTGTAGATGCTGCTTAAAGTTTATAATGTTGGATTATTGTTTCTTATTTCATGGGCTATATGAGATTTTGGAATAATGCATATATAATAGTTTTTAAAAAGAAAGTATTACATTTTAGAAGTTCAATAGTTTAATGTTTCCTAAGGCAATGAGTAAGCCTGTTAAATAATTGTGATCTTAATATTGACCAAAATAATTAGCAGCCCTACATTAACATTTAATTTAATCCATGAAATTATAGAAAATTTGCTGTGTGAAACTGCACCTGTGCCTTCTTTGTGTACAGGCTAATGCTTCATTCAATAAATATTTTTTATTTTTAACTTAGAAAAACTTTTGAAATGGTTTTACATTTGGTGAAGAGCACATTATGACTTATTTAGGACTCGAAACTCAAAGTTTAAGACTTGGACTTGACTTGAACTTGTTGGTCCTTCACTTCAGACTTGACTTGGACTTGCCAGTCATGATTGTTCTGGACTTGGGACTCAACTTGGGACTTGAGTGCTAAGACTTGAGACTTGATGCGGACTTTTTTTTTTTTCTCGGTCTTTTCCATGATTTACACAATGAGTTGTGTAAATCATGTAGCATTTACACAATGAGTTGTGTAAATCATGGCGAAGAATGGCGAGGATCGACGCGGGGTGGCGCTCGGGCTGCAGAAAGCTCATTGAGGTTACTGCCGAACCGCAGCTCCTGCCCCGCCTCTCATAGCTGGGTGCGGACTGATGACGTCGGCCTGGCTCCCGGAAGTCATCCTCCGTGATGCAGCATTAGCTTGTTTAAGGTATTGGTGCAATGTTACTCTCGCTAATTATCTCTCCTGATACATTCTTAACTTGCCAGATAAATACTGTTCAAGTTATTACCAACTATAGCCTACATTTTCTGAACTCTGTTTGGCTAGCTAAGATTTCTTTATTAGCTAAAATAGTCAAAAGGCTGTAACGTTCCTGTGTCACGATGGTCACGACTAACATCAGGACATTTAAATCTAGACTTGTGTTAATGTTAGTTGGAAAATGAGCAATCCATTTAGCTGCAAAGAGCACTTGTATCATGAGTAGCATTTGTAGAGCTACGAAGTTAGCTTAACATTAGCCGCATTTATCCTTGACTGACAACATCGTTATAGTCATAGTGTGGGATATTATAAACAGCACATATGTTAGACAAACAGTGTAGGGCTATATATATATATATATATATATATATATATATATATATATATATATATATATGTTGCAGGAGTATTGTGGGGGCTAATCTGGTAGGTAGGTTTATAAGTACAGTTGCTTGTTTGTAACTTAGTCTGTGTTTGAAACATAGGTTTGAAATGAATGCTGTCTGGTTACAGCCTTGTGATTAATACTAATTTGGCAAAACTTACAACATGTAAATGGAGCAGTAAAATATTAGAAATAGCAGCACTACAAAATACAGTCTCCAAAATGACCATATTGTGGAATAACTTATTCTTACTGACAGTGTCATCAAAAAGGAACATTTAAAGCTTCATAAGGTCAGTTAGATTTAACGCAGGTATTAAATTGCATTACATTGTAGAGTTAATTTATTTTATAGCCAGCACAAAGACAAAAAAAAAATGATGTGAATCTGTGAAAAAGAGAAATGAGGGTTTCAGCCAACCAAACCTATAAATTATCTTTAGAAACCATTTTAGTGAAATAAATAAAAAAGAATATGACAATTATGTGAGATTGAAGAATGTTTGCCATATAGGCTCCTACTAAATTTAGCAAACGGGTTTGCAACAGCCAGCAGCAATTAGTGTCATTACCCTAGGAATCAACAGCAGTATTTATTTGGAAAGGCAGTGGTTAGACAAACTAAAAAGCAAAGTAAATAAAAGTACATAGTTAAAAACAATGCAAAACAATAAAACAACTACATTTATCCATCCAAGTAATCACCACTTGATGATGATGTTGGACCCAACAACTCTGGAGGTTAATTATGTAGATGCTGGTCTTGCAAGGCAGATAATTTCCCATGTTTGTAAGTGCATGTGCAGCAGCTTAAGATGCGTGTATTTCTCTAATATTACTTATTTCTCCTCCCTTCTTTCATAGGTGCAGAAGGCATGGTGAAATAAGACTTCAGTGGGGATAGAAACAATGAAAGAGGTATATGTAGCCATGGAATAAAGCAGCTTCAAGAGAGGATACAGGAGTGCTGGTGTATGCTCTCAAGGAGGTCGATACAGGGATAGCAGGTGAGAACAATATGAGCGAATGACATCTGATTATGCTTGGTGCTGATGATGACAACATAATGTTTTGTGGAAGAGAAGGAGGCATTCCTATTTTAAATGTTTTCAATTAAGTTTTTCAATTTTCAATTAAATTAATTTTTTTCAACAAAACTGTCTGTTTTCACTGGCTATTGTTTCTTGTTTCTCCTGCATTTCAGGAGTCAGATGATATGGAGATCCACTGTAGAGTCAGCGAGCTACTGTATAACAGCTATGGTGAGTATGTGATTTACTAGAGTAGTGTTTCCTCTGATTGTATGCAGCTTTGCTGAAATGTGAAAATTCCCCATCATACCGTGTTACAACTGTATCTGAAAACTCTGAAAGCACTTACCCTAATTTATTAGTATGATAAATTCTCAACATTCCCTTAAATACATCCATCTACCCATTACAAAATAAAGCAGGACAGGACTTTGCAGTGTTCATTTTAATTTAGTGATACAAGATCTAAAATTACCATTACCATACCAACAGAGTCAGAAGCATGCTTTAATCGTCCTTCAACATAGTTCTCTCTTACCTACAAAAGAGAAAGATTTAATACAGTGAAAAATTTTGCTATAAGCTTATGTTTCTTTCAGTATCTATACCGATATCTAAGTATATTGTTACCATGGACTACCTTGCATTGCAGCTTGAAGCTATATCCTCTTTGTTGCAACCAATACCTTTTTATTATTATTTCTGATAAATCAATAAGGCGTATCAAACATTTCGATACAATTTTTGTGTTCTTGTGTCAAAACCAAGCTTTAGATTTACATCCAGCACCAGGTTAGGACAATCTGCACTATGTGAATCAGGTCATTATACTAGCTACAGCTAGCTACACAGAATACACTCTTGATTAAAATACATGAGACAGAACACTTGGTAATTGATAACAACAACTATTCTATGTGGATGCAGCACTGCTAGAAATTTTAGGGGCCCTGACAACAGCTTAACAACAGCTCTGAGGTAATAAATATATATCATCCCTGTCTCCTGGCCCCTGTCCAGCCCTGGACCTTTGAATTATTCAGAGTAGAAAACAGTGGAGCCAGCATATAGTAGCCATTAGAAGAGATGACAAGATGATTGTAAATTGGCTTCAACATTATCATCTGAAAGTAAAGTAGACATTTATTGGAAAAGTTTTCCAAATAGGTTTTCAGCATACAGTATACAGCATGCATGTACATACTGCCTGTCTGTGTGTTTAATAATGCAGTCACCAATATGCTCATGTAAATAATGGAAACTGCGTAATGGTGATGCTAAAGGCAAGCAGCAATTCAAAAGGTTTCTTTCACTCCCAAGGCAAAATGCTACTAAAACCGTCATTATTTGAGAAATGCTGATCACAGATAAACAAATGACTAAACAGATGGTTAATATCAGACAGTATTAGTATGGAGTGGTAAACCTCTGTTATTCTGGCAACAGATCTGCAATATGGAGAATTAATTCCTTTATTTCCGTTATTTTGATGCAACAATGGTACAGATGACTGATATGAATAATGACCAACAACAGGCTTATTCTGTCCTTAAATTTGTCTAGCACAAGTAATGTGACAGTACAGCATGATTTGTTATTTGTGTCTATATAGTGTCATTTTAAATGTGTATGGTAAGCATGCTCCAGCTCAATCTTGAGTGGTAATAAAAAAGGTGTCCTTATCTTTACTCCACCATACACAAACCATGACATGCATCCAACACAATAAAATACATTTACAGAGGCAGATGGGGGGGGTCTCATTGGCCTCGTGTCCTGCCCCTGGAGACCCGGGGTGTCTGGGGAGCCATGGGGTTGGTGTCCACCTTACCTGGCCTGGTGTCGGTCAGGGCGGGGCTGCCTTGGTGTGGGGGCCTGCTGTGGACCCTGGGGTCTGGGTACTCGGGCCTTGGGTTCATGCTCATGTCTGGGGTGGGTGGCGTGTCACTGGGCCTGGGGGTTCATTGTCTGCTCTCCTCAGCAGGGCCCTCTTCGGCAGGAGTGGGGCTCCTGCTGCTTCCCCCTGCCGGCTCTCTCACAATGTGGGTCTGGCCTCAGGACCGGCCTCGGGTTCACGGGGCTCAGGGGCTCGCCGGCTCTGCCTGCACTTGGGGGGGTGTGGCCTCAGGCTAGGCCCCCCATCCCCATTTCTGCCCCCCTGTCCGGCCTGGTGACAAATCAATACATATTTAAATGATTAATAAAACAGACAAAGGAGTATATTAATACTCTAAGTAAAACCTGTCTGGCACAACATGGTATCCAGTTCCTCATACTCTATAACAGGCTGCTGGGCAGGACAGGTTACATAAAATAAATAAATAAATAAAAATGGTGGAATCTCAAAAATGGAAATAAAAGGCTATGTCTACTTACAAAGTAATGACAGATGCTGTCAGAAATTGCTAAAAATGTAGTAACAGTCTCTGTTAAACAACAGGCAGAGATTTTATATGGTTTTGCACTTCTAAATAAGAGGAAAGGTTCAGCTCTCACTTGAAAAAGTGTATAGTAACCCTGTTCTAGCTGCATCACTACACTTTTTTCACAAGGAGGCAGTGTTGTCTTTTTGTTCACTCTCAAACATTAGTGAACAGAGGGACTCAGAACATGGTGAGAGAGCAACAGTTTATTTTTTCAAAGATGATACAAAACAAACTTAGAGAATCCTCTGTGCTCATTTGATGTAGTCAAAAAAGAAGATGCACAAAGCGATAATGTATATATTTAAGAGCAGGATGAGATACTGTATTTAACATCAATAGATATCACATCTATTAAATAGTCCCCACAGAACTGATTTTAAGTTCATAATTAATTTGTGTGCCATGATTTGCTTGTTCAAGTCTCCCTGATGCAGAAGAAACAGCTGTAGCATAAAAAGTCAAAACATATCACTTTGGTTTCAATTTAACTAAATAATATTCATATATTTTCAATCTTTTAATTTTTCAGTCTGTCTGAAGCAAGCAAGCCAGACTTGGGTCTGACAGTCTCATTGATGTGGAATAATAATCAACTCTTAGCTTTCCAACGTTACACAGACACAAATATTGCTATATGATCAAGTAAGTGATAGATCTAGTAGAACTTTCCGTTAGGCTCCATAATCGAATCGATCCAGCTTCTGTAGTCAGGAATTTTACTGTAACTATAGGTTTGCAGGCCATTTTGGTTTGGTGTGGAGGAGGACACCACCCCGTATGCCTTCCCATCTTCACAGACCAATGGCCCACCAGAGTCTCCCTGGAAGTGCATACACAGTGTGTAGTGATTTCTTCAACAACAGTGAATTAATTATTATAGTTGACCAATGTATGTTTGTCAATGTTATGTATGCAAATTTATAACAATGTACATACATCTCCGGGTCCGGTCTCTCCTTCAGTACAGTATGAGTGTTCCTTAGCACACTGTTCTCTGTCAATGAGTGTTACATTGGCTTCCATAAGTAAGAAGGACATATGTCTGTTGTTCCTGTCAGATCTTCCCCAGCCTGAGATTAGACATGATTTTGGGAGAGAGCCATCATCTTGGCCTGCGAGAGCAATGGGTTTCACATTTTTGTTGAAATTTGCCTTGGAGCTCAACTTGAGGAACAGAAAGAGATAAAAACATAGTTATAAAATGTAAACATCAATCTGTACAGTTGTTCAGAACTCCTCTTGATCAATGCATTCAACAACTCAAATAACATAATGACAAATTAGAAAAAAAAAGTTACCTTAAGGAGCATAATGTCATTTTTGAAATCCGTTGCATCGTAGTCTTTACGTGGAAATGTCTGCACCACAGGTATATTCTGTGTTTCACTACTTTTACGGACATTGTGAACTCCCAGTAAGACATTGTAGGAACTGAAATTACAAGATTAAAATATTAAGACTTGAATTTTTTCGCAATTCATGAAGCATATTTGCCAGTCTTAATGTATGAGTCTAAGCTGTTGTTGGGATAAGAAATTATATTAGGGGCCCCAGGATTTCCAGTAGGAAAACTGACCTAGCATCACAGTGGGCTGCAGTCATCACAAAATCCTCATTCAGAAGGAAGCCACCACAGTGTTTTATTTTACTATTCATCATGTGCCGCTCCAAAAGCACCATGTATGGTCTGCTATGTGGCACAGCCTCGTGACCACCAATGATATTCCCTGTAAGAACTGGGAAAAAATGTGAGAAACTGGTTAAATCAGTTGATCTATCCTCCTGCACTTTATGTCTCACAGTACTGAGAGTGGAATGTAGTTCATCATGTACCGCATGCTATAATACGCATGTGTGAAACAGTGCCACAAAAACAAAACTTACCTTGGCCATCAAGGGTCAGCATGAGTATCAGTATTACCAGTTTGCAGTTGATAAACATGGTGAGATCAGTTCAGCTGAGCTACTGAAAAGCAGTGGCACACATCACTGACAGATTCAGTCTTTAAATGCTTCCTAGAATCAGAGAAAGAAGGAAGTGTTTGTGTAGTTTGCATATGCATATTCATGAGGGTAATCACCTCTATAGCATGACTGAAGGTTAGATTTCCATAGCATAGACAATGTGTAATTAAGTGATATGGTGTATGTGTGTTACATTATGTTATGCTGCTGTGGTAACAGAAAGGTTGCTGAATCTGAAATTCACATCAGGAACCTGGAGTCACTGAGTGTAGTACAGACACTTGAGATCTACTAAACCCAATACTGTTGCAGGTGATTCCAGATGATAGGACTCTTGACCTAAGCCATCATAAGGGAGAAATGAAAAGTCTTTTCAAGTTACTGCAAAAGGTGGTTCAGTGTCAAAGAGAGAGCTTTGCCAATGACATGGTCCTGGTCCTGTCTTGTTCACAAGCCATGTAAGTAATTTCCCATCAATAAATTCAAATTGAAAGAAGCCAAACATTTGTCAGAGTGCTGACCACAAACCCACAAGATTTCCAGATTAATGCATGCACGAAAGAATTGTTTGTGGTTTTGAAAGCATTTCTTGGATGGATTTACTAAAGAGACATAGTCACACAGTGGCTACATTTATGCTGTTTGTTAATGTTTGAATTTCCAAACATTATTTTCTGTAGGTAGTTTGGTAGTAGCCAGGCATGCTAACATTTGTAGCTTACGCAGACTTAGTTAGAGCAGACTAAAAGTTTTGTCTATTGCTTACACTTTTGATCTTGTGTTTCTGGTTTTGTTAAGGTGATAAAAAAGACACTACTGTCCAAACTCATCATATGCTGAGTATTGCCGTAAGAGCCATGTGTAGGCTACATTGTTTCACGGTGTAGAGAAATCCAAAGTTTGACAGGGCTGACAGGTTTAAATTAGGGCTTCAAACAGTGTTAATTTATTTGCTTACATATTTTGTGTTAACTAATGTCTTTCTGGCATAACTCTACTCCATTAACCTTGTGGGCCCAGTCTAGCCCTATAGTGTTTGTGGTATTAATTAATCAAAGTCTCTTGCATTGTAATAGTAAATAAAATCAATACAATCTTTGGTCTGATTTCAGTTTACTCTGTGTCTTGTGTATCTGGGTCACATCCGTTTGAAATGCTCATTTATCTTGTTTGAAATCAGCAGGATGTATAGATTAATATTCTGAACCATTTACTCTGAGTTGTGAAACAGCAGTATATCCACCCCTTCGTAACCTCTCATTCTTTGAAGTCTCATTTTTATTTATAAATGTTCAGGATAGATTGGGGATATTCCTGACCTTGGGAGAACCTGATAAAAATTGTTGATGAAATGAACCAAAAGTGTGTCACAACTTATCCCGACCCTGTGACAAACAGATGGTCCTGGGTAGAGCCATGGTGGGCTAGTGTATGTACATCATTTCTCATGGGTTCAAAAGGATCCAGATATGTATTCGGGTGGAAGAGAAATATGCCAAGCTGTACTGCAATACTTTGCTTGAGACTGAATATGAAGTAGTCAGCCAAACTTGCCTGCTGAGACAAGTTGTAGTGAGAAGTGCTACGCTGTGAATTCACAGCATCAGAAGAAACCAAAAAATGCTAGAAGGAACACGCATTTGAGTGTCCATGAAGAGAGACAAATCAGTTGAGGTTGTTTGATGTAAGTAACTGCAAAAACAAATTCTACTGGTGTGAGTTCCCTGGAAACGTGCATGTGAGAGGTGCCTGAGGTGAGCTGGAGGTTAAGATCTCCTGTGGTTCAAACCAGACTTGTGATGTTACAGATGGCTGAAGGAGTTTAAAAATGTCAATTTTATAATCGAAATGTCAATGTACCTGAAATTATCTGTTGTCTGTGTTGTGTGAAATGCGGTGAAATGCTGAAAAATGGGGGGGGGGGGGATCTGGATGACAGGTAATCTGTGGCCTAAGGAGGTTCCTTTCCACAGACAGTTGGTCATTACTTAATGATGTTAATGTCTTAAGCAAATTTCCTGACACACTCAATGCTGCCTGGCTGACTTGAAATGGTTCTTCCCGTTCCTTTACTATTGTGACGCTCATGCCATAAACAGGCAAAGCCCGCTTGAAGAGAGTGCAAGCTATATTTTGTGACGAGCAGTTGTGTCACAGGATCCTGTGGTCCCCTGGGGATGATAAAATTCTCAGTCCATCTGCTGTTGGTTTTGCATTCTTTTATACAGTTTGTGCTGGACCATGTGTGCATTTTTGGTGTCATTTTATTTCCTGTTGAAATATTGTGTTTTAAAGGCAATCTAACTTCCCCTTTTTTATAATATAGTAGTCTCTGGAGATGGTGGGCAGGAGTTTAGGGCCTTTCTCCATCTACACTGTCTACACAAGTCTTTTTGACATTGGCCTCACTTTGCTCACAGTCCAGTCAGTCAAAGAATCCACACCAGGTTTTTGCTATTTGTAAATGTTTTACCGGCTTACGCAAACAACTGCACTGTGACTGTGGAAAGATGATCGGAAGGGTGAAGTGTACAGGATCGGCAATGTTTGAGCGTGTGAGTGGGTTGCATCCAGCAAATTTTCTTACTGCTCCTCTCCGCTCTTCTCCTTCCAACACAATGACACATTACAGGAAGGAGGTTGAATTGTTGCGCCTGTCAATAACGAATCAGTGTGTCAATTTTGAAATGGGCGTTTCTGGGGTTTTACCCCTGTTGTGAAACCTGGTGATAATTGCAGGTTGTCAAAACATGGTTTATCTTGTTTTTAATGTTGGAGAATTACAGATTAGTATCATTAGCCACATCCTCTGCCTGAGTTGCAAAGCAGCAGACTAACCACCGTTGGTTATCTCTCATTCTTTGGGGGATTTTATTTATGATACATGTTTAAGAGCCAGAATCATTGGATCCCATTACCTTTAGTTTGTTATGGAAATATTAAACTGGACAATCACTGGACCTTTGGCCATTCAGATCTTTGACTGGAAACATTCAGCACCTCGTTCAGTGGAGCTCTGAGACTCTTATGCTCCCAGCTCACACTCAGAGGAGGATTCCCTGTGCAATACACAGCACATTACGACCAGGTACCTCCTGCCCTCACCAGCAAGTGCACATTATTGTAATTTCCTGAAGTTAAATTAATGCAAATTATAGAAGACAAGAGGTGTCTTAAGCTCAGACAAATTAAATTCTTCACTGTTTCACCAGCTTTTGATGCAATAGAAATGGTACTATTTTGACTGTGGTGCATTTCAGACATGAACCAGGTTTGTTTGTGAGATACTGCTATCCAATCTAAGTTAAATAACAAATAATTATATTATTATATTGCAAGGAGCCTGTTTCATTAAAAGTGGGTGTGGAGTTTTAGAAAGCCAATGACATTTCAGGGAGCTGATTTGTCA